GATCATTGGATCTGCCCATGAGCTAGGATCTCTGGCCAGCCTCTCCACCTTACCCTCATTCCTGCTACTGAAACCAGATGGTGGGAGGGAAAACGGTTTGCCGGCATAATTCAGTAGACTAAAGTAGTCATGTTAGTCGTTGATACAAGCGAAAATGCGAGTTCCAGGAAGCAGTTGGGAGGAATGAGACACGATCGTTGGAACAAGGGCAAACAGCAGCAGTGAGGAGGGACGACGTCAGTTTTCAAGTTGCGGCTCATTCGATGAGACGACCACAAATTCAGGTGCGGTGACAACCGAGTGAACCGCGAGCTGTCTTGAGCCATGGTTTTCCGATCTGCAGTCCATTAACAAGCACAATGACTTCCCCCTTCTCCCGGCATATTCTGTACTGAGACTTTGCCTGGACAGAGTAACTGGTTGCGCGGAAAGAGCGCGTGGGCGAGCACTGTTCCCAGTGTCGGTGTTGATGAGTCCATTTGTGGGGTCATTATCACACCAACAACCGACACTGGTGATGAAATTGCGGCAAGTAACAACTCGGTTGCGTGTACGAAGTACAACCATCTGCGATGACTGCCACAACCTGTAGCGGCCGAAGACCTCAGGGATAACTCACACGGAGGCAGCGAAGCACTGGGTAAGGCCGATTTTAATAGAGTCGTTAACCTGCAACCCTACTCATCCATAAGAAAGGAAGGAAGAATAGGAATTAGGGGTAAAAAATATAATCGGAAGGGATGGAAACTGGGTATAACCAATAATGCTTAATTTTACAGATGGAGTGAGTTACAGCAAAAGGGTGACCTGTCTGGACGGTAAGGTGACGCTGACATGCCTGCCAAACCACCGGTGGGGAACGCAGCGCTGTGGGCAACTGCAGGGGAGGGCCGCGGGAGATGCCGACGTACAGAGAGCGAGAGAGGCGAGCGTTACAACGCGTTGTGGGAGGGGGGTCGCCGATAAAGTGAGTGAAGGGCACCGGCTATTTTTCACCGAAACGCTGTTACGCCATCACCATCCCAGATCAGTGCGGGAAGAAGTGCACTTAATTCCAACAGCTCTATACAGTTCGTGCGCCGTCACAAGCCGCCCCCTGTGCTAGCTGTGCAGTGGCCTACCAACTGCGCCTTACAAATGCTCCAGAGTTTGGTACAGTCTTTCTAGCGGCGAACTCGAGTGTGAATCTGAAACGTTTGACGAATAAAACTTGTCCCAGTGCTCGTCTCTCCGTCCCAGTCTCAGCCGCCGCAAGCTAGCTATAATTGCTCACTGTTATTCAAGTAGTGCGAAGTGGCGATTCCCACCAGGCACTCAGTAGACAAACTTTCGTGTGTACAGGATACGGCTGCTGTTCTATCTTTAAGGTCGATAATCACCGGTGAATATTGAAGCAATCGACCAGTCCATTATCGTCTTAATTCCAACATTTCTGATAGGGAAGCCTGCACTGGTACTCATGAAAGGTTTGCCCGCAAAAATGGCAAACTCAGCCCGAACCGAGTCCTTTGTAGGTCCTAGACGCCCGATTCTCGTTGCTTAGGGGCCGACCGCTGTGTGCGAATGTCAGGATGGTGACTATGAAGATCGCCGCCAGCTAGACAGCGCCGAATTATAATAACCTCGAACCCATGCCTAACGAACACCACAGAGTGTATCGTCGGCCTTATGTTCTGAGGGGCACATGGCCGGATTTGTTAAAGGTTGGTCGCAATTTCGAATTCCTGATCCAGATGATAAAAGGAGGACAACGGAATAAACTGTTTAAAAGTGGCAACTTGCCAGTCGTGACACTACTTTGCTCTTATATCTCATCAATCCTAACAGCCAGTAGCCGGTCACAGAGTCTTTTTGTCATCGCTTTCGGATGCGTGAAGCCTACTAGCACTTTCAGGACGGAGAGTGGGCCTTGCACTCCGATTGTGCGTAAAGGATGTGCCTAACAGAACCTTTCTGTTTGCAAAATTCACATGCTTTATGCGCTTAGTATAAATGTGTACATGATCTGCACAATGTTAGCGTAACTTTGACACAGGTTGAACACACTTACGCTTTTATTAGTCCAAGGCTACTTTCTAGGTCAATCATCATCATCCTCATCCTCATCATCATCAGCAGCAGCATTATCACCGCCATCATCATCCTCGTCAGCATCCTCGTAGTCATCATCACCACCATCGGCATCAGCAGCAGCATCAGCGTCATCATAATCATCAACAGCAACAGTGATGAGACCAAAAGACCCACTGCCACGGCAAGAAACATCTGGAGTCGTTTATCGGATCTGGTGCAGTTGCGGACAAAGCAACTACGTCGGAGAAACTGGAAGACTGCTCCGGACGCGAATCGCCGAACACGTGGCAGCTGTACGGAGAAATGACGCCAACTCTCAGGTCGCGGCCCATTCGACGAGACCCGGTCACACATTCAAGTTCGATGAGGCCGAAATTCTCGCGAGAGGGGATAATCGCGTGAGCCGCGAGTTGCTTGAGTCATGGTTCACGGGACCTCAGTCTATCAACAAGTGCAACGACATCCCCACTCCATATTCTGTCCTGAGGCATAGACTGGCCAAAGCAATTGACCACTCGAGGAGCGCGCAAGCACGTGAGCCAGATGGCCGAGCAATCATCACGCCAGCATCCAACACGGGTGATGAGTTGTCAGCAATTAACAACTTGCATGCCGGCCATCAAGCAATTAGCGCACCAGCGGGCAACAATCCTTGATGAAGGGAGCACGGTTAATTGCTGTAGGTATGCGGTAGCATGGCGACCGCATCCTATAAATACTGCGACTTCCTGTACACTAGCCACCCTTTTCTGCAACTGTCTCTGATGATGGATTCAAGAGAGAATCCGAAACGTCAGGCGAATAAAGCCATTGTTCCAGCGATCGCTTCTTCTTCTGATCTTCTGATCAGCAGCATCCTAGTCGATTTCCAATTTTTTCAAAAATGTTTCCGATTCGAACGACAACTCAAAAACAAGGTCCGATGCTGCAAAGTTTGATGAGGACTCCATTCCCATGTTCTCTCTCTCCCCCGCATCCAGGTGACGCAGTTGGAGGCGGCTCTCTACGAGCGGAGTCTGGAACTGCGACAATGTCGCAGCCGATTGTCCGAGTACGAGGCCACTGATTCTCTCACCTCACCATCACTGAAGGGCTCTTTTCACTCTCCGTCGTGGACGCGAGACAACCAAACCAGCGCTTCATCCGGCTGCAATTCGGTAGTAATTTCCCTAGACTTGTAAGTTTACGGCAGTGTTGTCGGGTGCTTAACTTTGCTGAATACCTTCCCCCTTGCGCGCCCCTCAACCTGCCTCCCTCTCCGCTCCCATATGCACATAAGTGAGGATGAGTAGTGTGGTTGTTTGATAGAAAAAATGCCTTGGTGGGACTGCAAAATCGACAGCGACTTCATCTCTATTGCGTTCTGACGGTACAGTACGCTAGCTTTCCATTCAAATCCTTTCCCACCACACGAGATGCTACTTTGAAGAAATCTGGTTTCCGAAATAGTCCAATTTTATTGCAGGAAAAGGCCGTTGTGTATATTTTCGAGACTGCTTCCCAACTCTTCGTCAGGCGTACGAGCAACGCGTGGAAGTGGTCACCTTTTATCTGTGCTTCAGATGATTGTGTGTGACACCGGCCAATGTTTTGCTGAAACAGATTCGCCGCATTGTTGGCCAATTAATGTCTTCTCTTGCTGCTTCACCCTTTTGATGGCTCCAAACTAACGTCTCTTGACAAATGCCTCCTCCGAGTGCATTGCCGTCATGACATCTTGTCTTGCCGTTGGTGACCTTTCGGTAAGGCCGACTTATATGACCCTCCAAACAGGACATGAGAACAGAAACCGCTGCCATACGGGTGACCTTGAGCCCATTTACGGTGAAATTAGGGTCAGGTTTACGGGTAGAGTCAGGGTTATGTTAGTGATTAGGTTTAAGGCCGGCTTTAAAGTTAGTGGTAAGGTAAGTCAGGACCAAGTTTAGGACTAAGGTAAGGGCTAGTGTTAACTGCAGAGTTAAAGCCCAGGGCAAGGCTAGGGCTAAAATTAGGGCAACAGTTTAGTTTTACATTAGGGTTATTGTTGGAGTTATAACAAGGAAATATCTGCCCTTTCTGAAATTATGCACAAGTCCATCTTAATTACTTTGGTAGGTCATTCCTGTTCCCATGTTCTGTGTAGGGGCCATGTGGGTCAGTCTTACCAACCTCCTTTATCGGCCATTTCGGTAAATAGGCAGTCGTCTGCGAGATATTACACACCACTTTTGGTGTACTTTACTTTGATTGAACTTGGAAGTGTGCCAGTGTCCGTATGCATGAACACCGGTCGGCGGTGATGAGACGATGCCATCCATCTATCTCAGATTGGCGTTCATACACTGCACACGGGACAAATGTACGGTAAGGAGCCCGTTCAAGAGGGAAAGGCCACGCGTGTCCCGGAGCAATCCACTCAGACACGTCGGTTTAGCTGTCACGCATAAAATTCTTTAAAATACGTGGAGGCATGACGGGCAGAAATAGGCATGTACTCGCACGGCAAACCATGTACTCTTTTGTTAGACAATGTCAAGAGATTGACAATATTTCCATTTTGGGCTGCGAAACCTGTCTTGAATTCATACTTAGTGAGTATCTTTCCTTCTCAAAGGACTTCGCCCACATCTAATTAACTTTCA